ACTCAATTAGGATGTCATCCACATTTTCTGCCTCCAAGCACAAGTTCCCTCCTTCGTCCTCGAGTGGTCCTCCCTAGTTATCTTCTTGTTTTTAATGTATCTATAGAATACCTTGGGATTCTTGTTAACCCTACTTGCCAAGGTCATTTCATGGCCCCTTCTTGCTCTTCTCATTGAGCCATAGGATGTAGGAGCAGAAGTAAGCCCATTCACTCCATCAAGCATGGTCTTGAATATATTTCACCCAGCCTCAGCAGCTCTCTACGGTAAAGAATTTGACAGGTTTATTCTCTTCTGAGACAAAAAATTGTTCATTAGGCAACCCTTACTATAAATTTATGGAATGCTTCAGAATCTAGAGTTTCTTGGAAGGTCAGGAACAGTGCATCCACTCTTCCTGTCCACCTTTATCCTCATCAGTTTCTATAGTATCTCTTGTCTAGTGATAGTTACTGTATTAGTATGGAGTGATTTCCCCCTGCCATTCCTTGATTATTTCATTGTTTTGTAATGCTTTCAGTGCCCTCTACTGTGAAGATTGATTCCTCTGCCATTTCCTGGCTACCCATTATTATTGCCCCAACCTTGTTCTCGATGGGACTATGTACACTTTGCCCCTCTCATCCATGGAAACACAGAAAATAAGAGCAGGAGTAGGCCATTCAGCCCTTTTTTAGCCTGCTCTGCCATTCATTGTGATTGTGGCTGATCATCCAACTCAGTAACCTGTTCCTGCATTGCCCCATATATTTTGATCCCTTTCACCATGAGTGCTATGCCCAACTGCTTGAAAATATACAATGTTTTGGCCAGGACTGCTTTCTGTGTAGTATATTCAACAGGCTCACCATTTCTCAGGATGAAGAAATTTCTCCTAATCTCAATCATAGATGGCCTATCCCATATCCTTAGTCTCTGACCTCTGGTTCTGGACTTGCTTGACATCAGGAACATCCTTCCAGCATCAATCATGTCTAGTCCTGTTCGAAGTTCATAGGTTTTTGAGATCTATCCTCATTGTTCTGAACTCCAGTGAATATAATCCCAACTAATTCAGTCTCTTACATGTCAGTCCCACCATTCCAGGGACCAGTTTGGTAAACCTTGGCTGCGCTCCTTACATAGCAAGAGCATCCTTCCTCTGATAAGGAGGCTAAAACTGCATACAATATTCCAGATGTGACCTTACCAGTGTCTCTGTAAAATTACAGCAAGATATTCCTGCTCCTTGACTCAAATCGTCTCACTATGAAGGCTAGCAAGTCATTTGCCTTTACCACCTGCTGCACCTGCATGCTTAACTTCAGTGACTGGTGAGCAAAGGGGTCTCATTGCACATTGCCGTCTCTCAATTTATAATTATTCAGGTTATTTATATTTTAGAAATACAATTTGTAACTCGTCAGCCTTTCTGTTTTTGCTACCAAGTTGGATTACCTCACATTTATCCACATTGTACTATATCTGCTGTGCATTTGCCTACTCACTCACCTTGTCCAAATGAAGTACCGAAGTGTCTCTGCATTGTCCTTACAGCTCACCCTCTTTATAGAATACTTGAAAAACTCTTACATTGCTGGTTTGTCCTCAGTTTATTTTCTTGCCCTTTGTTTTGTCACTTTAATTGATTTTTAAAACTTGCCTCTAGTTGAGATATTTTCTAATCAGCTTGTTCAGTAACGACATTACACACCTCTGGAGCAGGTGGAAATTGAACCCAAGCCTCCTGGCTCAGAGGTAGGTACAAAACTACTGCATAACAAGAGTCCTGACCTTCTGGTTTACCATTAGTCTTTGCCTCTTTTTTTTCAATTGGATGTTATCCTAACTTCCCCAGTTAGCTAGTTTGTTTTATCCCTTTCCTAGGATCCTCCTTCCTCACTTATTGTGACTCATGAACTATTTTCTTAAACATCTGCCATTGTCATTTCTGTCGACTGTTTTCTGCAGAACACTTTTCCCAGTCCATTCAAGCAAACTCCTCCCCTCATCCCGATGTAATTTCCTTTCTTACGTTTAGCACAGTTGTTTCCGACCCAAGTTTCTCATTCAAATGGAATGCTGAAGTTAAAAAAGATCAATTTTTAAAATTAAGAATGCTAAATTCTACCACGTTATGGTCACCATTCCCGAGGATATCTTTTACTCTGATCATTTATTAAAGCTGCTTCATTACACATTACCAGATCAAAATAGCATGATCCCCGGTTGCGTCTATAACATACTGCTTCAGTAAACTCTTCCTGAAGGCTACTTTTGCCAGTTTGATCTTCCTAACGTATATTAAGGTTGAAGTTATCTGTGATTAACATACTGCCTTTTTTCACATGCCTTTGTGATCTCCTGACTTGTTCTCTGTCCTAAAAAACTGTAGGAGTCAGTGAACTGCGCTCAGCAGTGTCGTCTTCCCCTCTTTATTTCTTGCCTCCCTCCACAAGGAATTCTACAGCGTCTGATCCAAGATCATTTCTTGCAAGCATCCTTATTGTATCTCATACTAGCAAAGGTCTGTCACCAGCCAAACCTTCCTCCCTGTCCTTTAGAAAGGTCATACAGCTGAATATTTAGTTCCCAGCTTTGATCTCCTTGTAACCATAATGGCTATAAGATTGTTTGATCTTTATGCCATTCGCTCTTTTGTTATAAATTCATATTGTTTTTACATCACGTACCTTTAAGAGCCATTAATTTTGCCTTCTTACCATTGTTTTTCCCCTTCAACCTGATTTCTTTTGTTTTTAATGCTCTGACATTCTGTCCCTGGGTATCATTATCAATTTAGTTACACTGCCATGTTGCCATATAGTGTTGCTTTGTACATCTGTGTTTTCCCCCCGCTCCTTATTATTTGACAGCCATAGCTATCTGTTATGCCATGATACCAGTCCCATCACAGTTCAAGGATAGCCTGTCCCATCAAAACTGTTAGCTGATTGTGGTTATACCTTCCAGGATAATGCAAGATTCTTATTTTGGTCTTCATGTTCATTTTGAACTATTTAACCTTTTGTTTTACCTTTGTCCTTGGCACATTATTTCTATATAAACAGCAGTTCAGGAATTTGAAAGTTCCACCATTTCAGTTTCCTGTGCCACCCTCAATTGCATGGTCGTAAATGTGTTGACCATCTTCTATTTTGAAAAATGCAATCACTGAATTACTTCATATGCATATTTGCTTAGCAAAGCAGGTGCAGAATGGAATGAAATATGTGACAAAAGTATGTTTTGGACTATTCAACTGATTTGGAGCATTTTCATTGTCCTTTTTCTCCTCGTGCACTGTCTCTAGTTAAATTGAAGAGGATTTTTACCTTGGTTCCTCCGAGCGGACAAAGAGCCCTCCCTTGACCAAAATTTCAGGGAGTTAACACTGTACCGTGTGTTGAATTTATTGACACTCATTGAACCCAGCCTAGGTGTAGATCCTAAACTATTGTGGAATTAATCTCATTTCAGACTTGGAGCTTTTACCCTCTGCTGAGTGCCTTGAGGAGAATGATCTTTGTCTCGCAGCATAAGGTTCACTGTACTTTAGAACAACAGGACGCAATTAGGAAGCATTTATAAAAGGAAAATATAACAGTCAAATATGAAAACTTAAGCTCAGCACCAAACAGACACGTGTCTGTTTGGCTGTCCCACACAACACCTTTGACATCAACTCCCTCAGCATCTATGCCACTCCTTCAGTGTCACTGAGTCAGAATCCTAGAACTCCTACCGTAACAGCACTGTATGTACCTACCTACCATGGACTACAGCAATTCAGAAATGTGGCTCTTCACAACCCCCTCACAGGGGTGTGCAACAAACAGTGGCCTTGCCCACGTTCCATGAGCACCTTTGTTTTAAAAGTTACTGTCCTGATTTGAAGGAGTGATGTGTTTGTTTCTAAATCTGATTCCTCCTGTTGATCTGCATAATTTTCTGCCCTACCCCACTAACACATTGTGCTTTTGAAATCTGTACCCTCACTGGCTCATTTCCAGTTATTTGGAATTCTATTCCATGAATCCCTCCACTGTAGCCCATTTCTACTTAATATACACTTTAAATACAATTCTTTGGCAAAGCCTGTAGCCACCTTGATCATTTATTTTTGTGCCTCATTATGACTGTACATGATTTCTATGATAGAGGGGGTTGCATATATCCATTTTGTTTAATCTTGTTAGTTCTGGTGACTAGTTGCAGAAAAGTTGGAACAGTAGAAGCAGCATGTCAAGCTCCTACAGAACCAAGGTTTAATTTAGTTTTCAGCAGTTGTTGGGGGTTTGAAAATGGTTACATCGAAGCTGCTAGATCTTTTTCTCTGTTACAGCAAAAAGCTTGGGTTCTCTTCCTGCTGCCAGAACAGCATGTGAGACAATCTTTTCTACTGAATTTGGCTTTGTCAAGGGTGTGTTTATGTGATGTTGATATATTGGAACAGTTGTTGTTTAGTGGTTAAATAATATGTTATTCTGTTAAGCTTTCCAATAGAGTTAAAGTTAGACCAATTCTTTCTTTTGTATTTAACTGTAGAATAAGAAGAAAGTGTGTTTTGCTTAAAGCTGAGTAGTAAAACCAATCAAATTACGTCTGGAACGCAGTTCCTTACATTAGCCTTTGTCAGAAAAAGTTAGGGTCTAGTCCTTTTTCTTTGATATGTGACCCTGTTCTGACTGAGCTTGAAGTGAAATGAAAAGAATTTTTGGAGGAATGCAGCAGGTATGGTGGTGTCTGTGGAGAGAAATAGTTTTGAATCATGATGGATGTAATGTTACTTCTGTTTTGCTCTCACAGATGCTGTGAGACCCTCTGAGTTTCCCCAGAAATTTATGTATTTATTTCAGAGTTCCAAGGATATGTTTAAATGATACTCAGCGATTCCTGATATATCACGTTGATTGTAAAATTAGAATGGCTCTTCATCAGGAATAAGGCAGGAATGTCTTCTATTAAATTTTCAGTGAATTTTATTATGAATTTCTACTCTAAAGAACACAGATTGTAGCTTAGAACTGGATGACTTGGTCCTTCCTCTTCTTGTTTCCTCCCAGCTCAAAGCTGTTGCACACCTCTTGATGACAAGCGTTCTCTTTTGATCGATAGTTGGGCTCCAGACACTTAAGTGTCAAGTCAATCTTCTTACCCTTTTTTTGAAATATAGGCTTTGGCTGCCCAACATAACCATTTTGTTTTCTGTCATAACACCTCTTACCCGGTGTGTACAAAGAATCCTTTCCCTTCTTGTACTGGGTAACTGTATGTGGACGGTACCTGCAACATTCCTTGTAGTGCATCCTCCAAATCTTTATTACGTTCACTATTTTGCCATCTTAGTCCTGAGCAGAGAGGGGGAAACGTAGTGATCTTGACTGGTATTGGAAATGGGAGAGATTGCTGGCATCTGTGCAACTTTACTCCAGCAAAATTTGGAACTTACAGAAAAGGAGGGCAGAAAACAGCATGTAGAAATGAGACTGATTGGTCCTAATATAGTACTTAACGGAACCCTAACTTTTTCCAGTTTATATCAGTGACATGGGCAAGGGGAGCGAAGGTGTTCATAGCTCAATTTGCAGATGATATGAAGGTCGTTTGTAATGAAGAGGCTATGAGGCTGTAAATCAGTGATAAGTCGCATGTGTGGGTAAAGTTCTGGCAAATGGAGTGTAATGTGGGAAAATGTAGAATTATGCATTTTCGTAGGTGTTATGAAGATGCTTTATATTGAGTTGCTTGCAGGACTTGGCTTTGGAAAGATCGTGGCAAAATAGGTTCATTTTTAAGTTTTGTGAAAATACCCAGAAAATAAGAGACAATTGAAAGTTAATTGGCTAATGGAGATTTTTAAAAACAAGACTTGCTATTAAACGGTTGATTAGGGATAACTTTGTTTTGCTAGGGCTCTTTTGAACAGTGAGTAGCTCAGAAAGGAGCTTTTGAATGAAAGCCTGCTAATAATGTGCTGTCCAGTTGGTCTGTCATTTCTGAAAAGAAAACTCTCCTGTAACTTCAGAGGGAAACCTATTTTTCTGCTTGAGAGAGGAATTGAAAGATGTAAAGATCATACATCCTGAGCAAGCTATGTCTACAAGACTTCAGAAACAACCATGTGTAGTTAGTGATGACTCCACTAGTCAAAGCATCAGAGTAACAGATTCTAGAAGATTCTATGATTTATCCTTTTGCCTTGAATAATCCATTAACCGAAGTGTATTTTATTTTTTGCCAGCCAGTCTCTGCAGGGAAATCTTTTCTCTTTCCTTCGAGTGTATGTTTTGGAGATGTTTAGAGGGATAAGCATTTACACTTGCTGCATTTCATTGAATAAGTTTAGGTAATAAACTAACAGTTGTACCAGTTGAAACAAACAAAGTTGAACAAGGTTAGCAGGTGTGGCAGCATCTCTGGAAAGAGAGAATTAATGTTTCAAATCTAGTATGACGCTTCACCACTGGTTGTATTGGTTGGTCTTTTTGTTTTAACACCCGATATAGATCAAGTTTATAATTAGTTGTCTTGGTTACTGGTTAATGTTGTGACCTGTGAACAAGTTGAGCAACAGTCAGTCAAGACTGAAAGAGTAACACAGCAGAATGTTGCATAAAGAGAATTACTGCAGAATTCCAAGATCCAATTTTAGTATCCACCAATTTCTTGATCAAATCCCCTACACTTGAGTCCAAATCATGAATGTACACCACTAGCAGAATGGGCCCCAGCACCTAATCCTACAGAACCTCACTAACACAGACTTGCAGTCTCAAACATTGCTCTGGTTCCTCCCTCTCAACCATGTTTGAATCCAATGTTCCACTGTGCCTTGGATTCTGTGGCCTCTTATTGTCCAGGCTCCTAAGTCCACTAGTACCGCTTAGGTTACTGTTAATTATTTCTGATATTTTGGTGCTCAAACCTGGTATCTGTACCGGTGCTGTTCTTTGTCATTGTGCACACTGATGCAGTGTATTCATTGAGGACATTGCCTATGTTTTTGGGTCTACACACAGCTTGTGGTCTCTAACAGGCCTGACTCTTTGCCTAGTTATTCTCTTTGTTCTTTACAGATTTAAAAAATCCCTTTGGGTTTTCTTTTATTCTACCTGCTGATGTTTTCTCGTGCACTTTGTTAGCTTTCCTACACTGACCACAATTTTATCAGCAAGTAGCTGCTCCCAGTCCGCCAGTTCTTGGGCTTGAGAAATGAGCAACAAGTGCTGGTCTTGCTAATAGCACCCATGTCCCTGCAAGGAATTCTGGGATGTAGAAAGTAGATGGGATGCTGATGTTGATAAGCTGATATTTCACTAGGTCTAGATGAAATGTATCTGGGGGAGTAATAGTAAAAATTACTGATACCTGACCATAATCAGTAAAATGACAGATGTCAGCAAGTTTCATGCCTATGGAATACAAGGGACAGTGGCTAAATGGTGGCAGGTGCACCACAACTAAAGTCTTTACATTTTGCTTTAGCATTAAGTTATTTGGGCTGGAAATCTTGCTGAGGTTTGTGAGATTGGTTGGTTGTTTTGCAAAGTCTCTCCCTTTCTTCAGCTTGAGGCCTGGCCTAGTGCTGTGGTGTGCTGCTGTCAGAGATCTGCCCACAGGCCCAGCCTACTGAGGCCACCACTGCCCCATGACCAGCCAGCCAGGCACAAATGCACCTACCCTGTATATGGTGGCTGCCAAAATGAAGATGCCCCCACAGCCACAAAGCTGTTCCCATGATGCAGACAGGAGCAAGTGAAACCCGTGCAGAAAGTCCAATGAGCAAACATTGCACAACACGTTAGGGTGGCTGAATAGTTGCACAAGAAATCCAAGAGGGGTTTTCGGGAGCGAGGGCCTCTGTTATGAGACTAGCCTAGAATAGCTGGAGCTTTTCTTTGAGAAGGTTGCATGGATTTGATGGAAGTTTACAAAATTATGAATAATTAGAACAGTATGAAAAAAATTGACATTTACAGTATTATGTGTAAAGTAAGTTTCTACTGGATTGTGGAGGGTGGTAAAATTATCCGGTGAAGAAGGAAAAGTGATTTATTTGCAGTGTGAATCAATAGTTTAATCCTGAAACTCCAATCAGCAAGATTCTGGTACTGGAGTGGTCATTTGGCAACATGAAGTTGCTTGTGGGGAACGGATGGGTTGTGGTGGAGGTTAGAATAGAGAATTTAGACTGTCATGTCTACTGTTACTGGTGCCCATCTTTAGATCTACAAATTTTTATATTTTCCGTGTGGGTGCTTGCTGATGTGATATATCATGCATGGGTTATCAAGGGAGTGTAAAACAACATGCCCCCTGAGTACAGCATGTTACATGCCACTTTACTCCCTGGACATGCCTTGGCTATATTTAATCCTAAACTCACCAGATAATCCATGCCATGTGTACTTGTGACAATGTGTAGAAGTTAGAGACTAGCTGTGTTTAGGTTCAGAACTCCAAATAAGGTTCTTACTCCATTTGTCTCAACCAATGACTGAACGAAAGTAGTGAGCCAGTGCTTTTTAAATGGTCAGAATAGCTTTTTGCAAATGTTTGGCACTAGGTATCAGCATTTTAAAATTTCTTCAGTCTTTTCTTTTTCAAAGTTTGTTTTTAAGAGAATTTAAATTCTCGTCTTCTGTTCTGAAGACAATAGTTTTGTGGATAATCTCTCCCACATTTTCAACAGACCTGAATAGTGATTGAAACTAAAAATAGTTGATATTTTCTTTCCTCATCTTCTGCCTCAAATGTTATATTTACTGTCAGCCTCAGTGAGGCCATTGATGGTGCCTACGCCTTCCTGGCTTGGTTCTACCTCCTGGAGCTAAACAGGAAGGTTTGCCATATCCGTACCCTAGAGATCAGTGAGAGGAGAAAGTTTTAAGTGTGGTCTTTGTCAAAGGTAGTGGACAATTGATGCTGTTGAAGTGAATTGGCACTTGATTGCCAATTGAGAATAAGTACTTGTATCAAGGAGATGAGTAAGTTGCCTTGAAAGAGCCGCCTTGTGGCGCAGTGGTAGTCATGGGTTCAAGTCTCATCTGCTCCAGTTGTGTGTAATAACATCTCTGAACCGGTTGATTGAAAAAAATAGGTTAAATAAAAAAAATTGCCTTGAAATGTACCAGACAAATCATAGCGTCTGCTGTGATGCATTGCTACTGTTTGTTGCTCTTTGAGTTGCTCTTTCCTGGTTGACACACAAATGTTTTGAAGGAAATAATTTAATACTCAGTTTGTTGTTAGTGTCTCATGAAGATGCAATCAATTAAATTTAAGTGACTGGAAGTAGTTTGCATTGACACAAGTACTTGGAGCAATCAGCACTGCCAGCTTGTGTTTCCTGTGATATACCATTGACTTGGTTCGTCTACCTGTCGCTGGTTAACATTGCTGACTGGGAAGAGTAGGTTTTGACCACGTGGTTTAAGGCAGGGTCAAGAGAGAATGTTCTGCAGTGTTTCATTTCCAAGGAAAAAATGGTCTTTCTATGTGAGTAACTGTGACTTTTAATAAATCTGCAGATAGCTGCTAAAATTGGAGGTGACACTGCCACAACAGTAAACCACAGCACACCAGAATTTGGATTTGTTGGTCAAAAGAGACAACTAGAAGATGGAGGTAAGACAATCAGAATAACTGATTTCTTCAGCTGGTTCTGAAGTTTAATATAGTTAGTAACTGCTTTTTTTTTCTTGGTAACTGATAGTACCAGTGTTCAGTATTATCATCCCTTTTTTGGTTTGGTTTGAGTTGATTTATTACTGTCACAAGTACCGAGACAAAGTGAAAAATTTTGTCTTCAGTGCTTTGTAGGCAGATTGTACCAGACAAAGTGCATCAGGGTAACAGAACAGAGTGCAGGATACAGTGTTACAGCTGCTGAGAAAGTGCATCAACATTATATTTAAAGAGGTCCGTTCAAGAAGTCTGTCACTTCTCTATCTTCTGCCCAATGGAAGAGGGTGGAAGACAGTATAACTGGCGTAGGAGGGATCTTTGATTATGTTGGTTGCTTTCCCAACGCAATGGAAAGTGTAGATAAAGTCAGTTGATGGAATGCTGGTTTGCATGATGGACTGGGCTGTGTTCATGACTCTTTGTAGTTTCTTGTAGTCTTGGAAAGGGCAGTTGCCGCACCATGCTGTGATGCATCCAGATAGGATGCTTTCTATGGTGCCTCTATAAAAATTTGTAAGAGCCTTTATGGACATGCCGAATTTCCTTAGCCTCCTGGGGAAGTAGAGGTGTTGCTGTGCTTGCCGCAGGTGGACCAGGACAGATTGTTGGGGATCATCACTCCCAGGAACTCGATGTTGTCGACTATCTCCATCTCTGCATTGTTGGTGCAGACAGGGGCATGCCCTTATAATAGTGCTATCATTTGTATGACATAAACTATCCTTGATTCAGTCTTGGCTGGAGGTGACTCTGGATGCTACGTGTATAAAATAATTTGGTTGGAAAAACTTGACTGGTGATGCATGATGGGAATCTGTTAACATTGACATGAAAGAATATTGGCAAGTTGGTGTGCATCTGCTGTGACAGATGTATAAGGTCAATACGAGAGCCCAGAAGTCAGGAGCCTAACCCTAACCCTAACCCTAGATCACTATCCACCCCACTCAGATTTTGAGGTAACACTGTTTAACTCAGGAGAATTGGCTAAGTAATTTCTTTTCACTTGAATGAAGTGTTCAAAGGCCAGAGCATGAGCTAAAATGAGCAAGAACTCAAATTTGTTTTGCAAGGAATAGTCATGGAACAAATCTCTAGGGAGGTTGTTAAAGCAGATGGTATAAATTTGTTCAAAATTTAATTGGGCTTTGTTGTGAGACAAGGAATACAGTGAGTTGGTAGAAAGGATGTGGTGTTTAAAAAGCAATATATTTGGCTAATTATCTTTTTCTTGTGCTGAAGTTTCTTGATTTTTCTTCAAATCTTTACTCCGTTGCAAGTGTGTAGAAGATCTTAATGCATTGTGTGGCACGGATAATAAGCACTGGAAGAGTATTTTCCTCCTGTGCTCCCACTCGCACTCTCTGCCATATGCTTCAATCTGAGCAGACCTGTTTTTTTTTTGAAAATTCTCAACTTGAAATATGTGCTGAAACATGTGGGAGGGTAAGGCATCAGAAATCATTGCTCCCCATTCTGAATGCAGTTTTCATCAACTGTGTTGAAGTGAAGTGCACTGGACATCTGTTTCATGTCCTGGAAGTGTGGCACTTAACTGGAGACCTTTCTGTGCCATTCCTGTTTGTTTGTGGTGGAATCTGATTTCGTCCAAGTCTCATCCAATGGATATAAACCCATTTTTTACTGTGCTTCTGTCCCAAACTAATTACGAGATCTGAATAAAGAATTTGTTCCTACTTTGCAGCTTCATGATGTTGTAAGCACATTGAGACCAGAGAGAACAGCTCTCCCCTTGACTGTGGCTTTCTCCCTGGCTAGTTGATCTCAAGTCAAGGTAGATCTTTTTGCCGTAAGATATACAGTGAACAGTAATAGACCTAGCATATTATTATAAATATGTTCTGTGTGCTGAAACTCAAGTGTGGTTTAATCCAGAGCAATACATTGAACAATCGTTCTAACTGAGGCAATATGCATTATTTCCATTTATCTGATTCATGACCCTGTAGGGTCTGGACAGGGTAAAATAGAATCATATTGGAAATGTGTCCTTGCTATAATCAGTAACAGGTATTATTGTAAATTTGAGAAATTGAAGTAAAGCCTGGGATAAAATAGAAACTATCAAAATTATACTTGCTCCAGATCTTTCTTTTAGTTGTCGTGATGTCTCGATGCATTTGCATGAAGTTTTCAGTTCAAGTTTCAAATGTTTTATTTTTACTCTGCTGCTGTGACCATCTATGGCCCCATAGTTCTCTGGTTGATATGTCAGACTGATGCCAAAGTCATTAAACTATTTGGAATTC